TTTGTGGAAAAGATGAAATGTAGATCAAGCAAAGTTAAAATGTAAAAATGCAGAAATTAGGTAGCAGGTAAATCCAAACAACCAAACACGCTGAATCAAACAACTTTGGGGGTGCTCCCACCCGGTTCTTACCAACAATTCACCGCCGAATTTTTTGGATCTTCAGACACTTTCCATGGATCGAAATTGAAAATCCTTATTCGAATTGCATGATCGAATTGATGGTTATTAGTGCACGGGGCAGCAACTAAAAATTCCTTATTTTCTAGATAGCATTACAAAATTGAATTCATATCAATAACATCAGATGGTGAAGCTAACCTAACTGACCATTTAAAATGCAGGAATAGTTAAGATGATTGAGAACATAAACATGTTATTATATACAAAACCTAGATTCGTGGAAGGGGCAATACCCGTCAAAGGAAACCCCAAGAAAGACTAAATGAATCACAAAAAATAGGCAAAATATGGGAAACATAAAGAGAGGAAAAGGTATGGCTAAAAGACACCCAGATTCATGGAAAGAAGAAAAAGTTCTCAGCATACTCGAACGACGATCAAATCAACTGTGATCATAGGACAAAGGAGAGAGAACATAAATGCATAGGTGGGATCATACCAGTAAGGGACACTGAATAAGAGTCTCGCCGAGGAAGTGGAATGTTAAAACTTGAACCTTCTCATGGCGTTATAGAGATCTTCTGCGTCGTTAGCGCCACCAAGTGAGCAAGGCCGTATAGTAAAACAATCTGACCCACCTACGACCGGAAAGGCACAACAAATGTATTTTAGCTCTAAAAAATGGGTCAGATAATTGAGCATGCAGCAGGAGGGCAACTCGTATATCCCATAAGGCGCCACTTCGTCACTATTAAGAGGGTAACTAATAGAAAATGTTCAAAAAATTAAAGCCAAGGTACTTTTTGAAACAGTACATACATGAGCCTAGTTTTGGCAGGCCCTATTGACTAAGAAGGTTTCTACCCCTACATGTTTCTGAAATGACCCGAACCTTTATGCGAAGAAAGGAAGAAATCTAAAGCAATGACATTATGGAAAATGGAGACAAATTATAACAGACTTACTCTCCACCGAGGAATTAAAATTTGGCAAATGGACAACTATGATATGAGAAGCATATAATTGCAAAGGGTTCCGGAGACCCAAACAAATTAGGTCACATACTTACTGAATTGCACAGAATAACTTAGCACATATAAAAGCATGTTATTACTCCCCTAGTTTGTTCATTCCATTCTCCCATTGGACGATATCTTTTATTTATTAGGCTATTTCTTTGACTCCATCCCTTTTGAGCTTGCTGCTGAACTGCAGCATCACAGAAGTCCTGTAACATCAAACCTGTAGCATTAGATGGACGCATAGTTTTGATTTCATATTGCTTAGACCATGAAACTATATACAAAGTTCATGATTAAATGCAAATACACCAAGCGAGCTTACACAGGAACTGAATCTCAGGATCTGATCAAGATAGGAACTTAATTGATAGGTAAGGAATGAAGGGAACTGATACCATAAAAATACATTGGATTTGCAAAGAGAAGTTTAAAATCAAAGAACAAAATTGCAGCAAAGTTTAACCTAAGTTCTATCAATTTACAACAAATAGGGCACAGGCTGAACAACAACATGAGTGCATGACCCTGAGGCCTTCAGGCGCATGATAGGCTGATAAGAACAACTCAACAACAACCGACGATCAAGAGGGAAAATGAACACATTGGAGTTCAGTTGTGAGGAAATTTCGAAAGGTATTTATCGCAAGAAATGCAATATGTGTTTCCGTAGAACTGTACGGATAAATCAGCAAAGGACAACCCCAAAAAAGGAGTAAAATTGATTTGGCACATCAAATTTCTTAAGCAGGATCGAGTGAATTTCAGTAAAACAGAACAGTTGATGAAAAGGGCGTGGACATAACAAAAGAGTTTGCATTAAGGAGCTGACCTTGTCACTAAATTGCAAGCATAAGAGGGATCTGATCAGCTTGCTTGTTGCAGATTGGCCGTGTTTCTCTCTGAAGACATCTGCTGGCCTACACTCCTCCAATGGCTCAACTGACATTGGTTCCAGACCTGCAGAAGATCACCTACTCAACTGAGTACCTTCACACAGACTCTATGAACCCAACATAGGGAGCATGCAATCAAACACGGGAACAGGATAGCAAGTGCAAGCAATTAGATACGGGAACAGAAAGTAAAAATCAAGAGAGCAACTTTGACTAATGAGACACAGTGCTCAAGTTAGGTTAGATATACAGTTTAAAGCAGGCAAAAGCTATAATTTCTAGACAGAACCAGTAAAATAAAGAGACATAGAAAGCGATTACCTGCAAGGGACAGTGTACGGTGTTGCCAGAGCAAAAACTCCTCTCATCTCTCTGTTACCCGTCATCCTCCCTGGCCACTAATGTTGTTTCCCCGTTGGCGCTTGACATTTCCATAGAAGGGGGCTGAGGAGACTCACCCCAAGCCGACCTATCACTCCTCGGTTGGAAGGATGCAAAGGGAAAATATAGCTACACCTGCAATTCAAAAGAAAAAAACCATTCACTTTTCATCCCCTGTGATGGATTCATAGAAATATGCAAAATCAATGGCTAATGTTGATGAGAACTTTAATGAAAATGCATTCTACTCAATTCCCCATATTTGCATCACCCTAGTTATATGACCGTATGCATGTAATGAAACAGAACCATACAACCTCAAGTTCTAAAATAATCAATCCCCAACACCTTTGTCAGTGTGATTTCCAAAGTCTGTGTCATTTAAGAACTCAAAAAATATACAACTCAGCCTACTGGAGACGCAAAACAGTATGCAAGAAGCTTTCAAGTAGTGATATCCCCCGCTAAAATGCATAGGGTTCAGGGGAAAACAACAAAAATGAAAGAAATCCCCATTCTCCCCACGCCCCATAGCATGTTAATGGAGGCTCACCTGAAGGTCCAACCGAGTAAGAGAACCAACTCGACTTGATCTGTAAGGGAAACAAAACATAGGAATCTTAGCATAAAAGGATTTGGAGTCGAGGCTAGTCCGTGTTAAAACCAATAGAGTAAAAAGTATACTGTGTAGCGCGATAGTTGGAACTGATGACCAATTATAAACAAATTATTCAAGACCTCTAAACCATCTACGCAAAGAGAAGAAACCTAAACTAAAAACAGAAGAAATAGAGAGAGGAGATCACCAACACTGAAGCTTTCATGGTAGACATCTGCAGTTGCTTCCTCCTTCCCAACGATTATAGATATATATACTCATTGGTCATTGGACTTCTGCATTTGCTTCCTCCTTCTCCCTCAAGAATGTTCATCATTGACTTGTTATTGCAATCTATGAATCCATCTAAGAAAATCAGCGTCTAAGCAATGACCAAAACCCTAAAAGTAACGAAAAAATGAACAGAATCAAAGGCAGAAACTCACAAGCTAAGCAAGCCGCCTGCTGACAATCCTTCTCCCCAGGCAAGTTCGCTGTTAGCATGTTTTTGTGGCCGATGAATCAACCGAGAAAAGCAGTAAGAGTTTGTGAGGAGAGAAAGACAATGACTGGAAGCTAATTTCGGGAAAACGAAAACCCATATGGCTGAAAACATACAGAACCACTCCACAGAAAGGAGTCATCAAGATTAAAAACAGAACCAAAACCCAAAAAGAACCTTACCCAAAGAGCAGTGGGTAGCCCTCATTGGCTCTGCTGCCTTTGGAAATCTACATTGGCAGCAGCTCCTCCATTATCCTGGCTAGTATCCTAATTCGAAAAGGCAAAAATAATAATTCCAATTAGATTAGCAAGAAAGCACTCCATAAAAATCTAAACATGTCAAAACCGAAAAAGGAAATAAATCCACAAAAACGACTTTCCACCTTTGTCGCGGTCGACAGCAGTCCCACCGCCACTATCTTTTCACCCGGCTCCTCTTTTGCTGTTTTTTTTTTGTTGTTGTTGTTGTATTTTTTGTTCTTGCTGCCGTTGTTCACGTTGAAGGCGTAGTCCCCAAATACAATTCTTCCTCCATCAGAAGTCAACCGACAACTTAGCAAGCTAATTCCCGACGTGGTTTTAAGGTCGATGAATCCATTGGGAAAACAACGTTTTAGCAAAATTAAAAACCCTAAAAGTAATTTAAAAAAACGAAAAAGAGTTCAAAACTCACCCTTCAGCCTCTGATGCTCGTCGATCCATCGTGAGTATTCCATGTCGAATGCCATCGCACCACCGCCTCCATTTCCTGATACTGAGTGGCCATGGTAGTCCACCGATGCACCTGTGGAGGCGGCGAAAATTCCTTGTTGGCGCGCACGTTGTAGTTCTTGTTCGAGTTGGGTAAGCCTTTAGCGACTGTTCTCAAGCTGCTGGACATAAGCCTAACCCAAAACCAAAAACTTATGATTCCCCGTCGAAATGTGTTCATTCATTCATCTATATTGTAATGTTTGCAAAAACAGATTGGTACCTTCTTCCTCAGGCGACTCTTTCTGGCTGCTTCCCGGTTCTGAGCCAACCTTCGAAGACTCTGCTGCACAAGGGAAGAAAGCAAGCAGCAGCAAGGGAAAATAGGGCTATCAAATTGACACTTAAGAAAATGAACAACTTGACAGTTCAAGAAAAGGAGCAACCTTTTGGTCATCGATTTTGCCCTTGGATTGATCCATGGAATCAACCACCAAAATTGAGCCATGTTGGCCACCATCACCAAGCTGCTGCTGCTGCTGCAACCAGAAAAAGCTTGCCTTTACATCAACCCAGCTCAGAACAATTAACAAATCCCCTTTGTTTTTTTCATGAATTACTGTTAATTAGCTACTAAAAAGCAGAGTACTGGAAACGGATTAGGATCACAACACAAAGCACAAAAAGAAGGACTAAAGGTGACACTGTACTGTCTCCCTCTTTTTTTCCTTTCGGAAAAAACAATACAGATATCCATATGGAACAAAATCCACAAGGAAATACAAAAAACAGAGCACATTGTACAGTGAGAGCAGTAGGGGGGAATTAGGGGGGAAGGCAGCTGATTCCTCAATTCCGAAACAGACCCACAACCACCACCACAGATTCGGAGCAGAAAGATTCTCACTTCTCCTCTCCCCAAGCTTTAACCAATGGGGAAAACAGAGCATATGTGCAGAGAAAGAGACAAATTCCTAAGAAACCCAAGAACTGACTTGGTGGTGAAATTGGTTTCTTTCATCAGTATCGACATCTGTGGAAGTGTCAGTAGTCTGCTGGCTCGTATCTCCTCCTCCTCCTGCACCCATCCCAGTCGAGGTTGAAATTGAATCCCCCCACTTCTCGAGATTACCACCACAACTACTACTGTTGTTGCTATTGTTGTTGTTATTCTGCTGCTCGTTCCCCAACAATGTCGCTCTCCCGTACAGGTATTGCCCTGTGTCCAAACACCCTGCCGCTGCTACCTCTCCGATCCCAGTCTACACCATAAACGCGAAAAAAAGCCAGAGACTTTGTAAACAAATGGTAACATCAAAGGGAGTTGTTCTGAATTCTGATGTTGCTACCGTAATCAATGGCGAAGCGAAATGTAAACTGCTGTTGCTTCCATGGGCGAGGGCGACATTGTTTCCTGATTTTGAACTGAACATGGAGCCTACGCAAACCACCACCAAACCCATGTTTTTAAAAGGAAAGAAAATTAACAACACGTGACTTTTACAACACGAAAAAAAGGCTCGGTGATAGACTTACTTGGGCTTAAATCAACAGCATGGTGGTGTTGGAAAGCAGAAGGAGGTGGGGGAGAGAGTGGGTTGTTGTTGGTTGGGGATGATCAAGCTCCCCAAGGTCACCAAACCGGGTTTGGCTTCTACAGTCTTCATCTTCTTCTTCTCCTCCTCCTCCTCTTTTTTCCGTGGTGGGGAAGGTGGGAAAAAAACAGAGCAAGTCAACTATTTATGCAGGAATTAAAATAAACTCAGCCAATGATGGCTTTCAGAGGAAAAAAGACGAGGGAAAGGGGTTACCGGAAAAAGTAAGGAGGTGGTGGCGGAACAGGGGAGTTGCAGTACATTTCAGAGGTATGGAAAACAGTAGAAGGAATGGTATCGTGATGATGGTGATGATAATGATGGTGGGATGATGACGCTGTAGCCCTGAAGCTTTGCATCTTCCAAGCCATCGCAACGGCCCACTACCATATCCATCGCCGCCATCGTCGTCTCGCCAGCGTCGTTGTACTCTCACCGCCCGCTTATGCTAGATGCCGTCGACGCTGAACCCGTAAATCAGCTCTGTCACCTGCGATCGCGATCATCAATTCCGGGATGCCCCTACAAGCTCGTTGTTCAACTGCATCCTCACTTCTTCTTCAAGAGAGAGGTGAGATGCTGATTCCTTTTTTCCTTTCTTCTTCATGTTGCAGGTAGGATTGAGTGGGTGAAAAGAGATAAGAGAGAGGTGAAAGAGAAGGAGAGAGAGAATGGTTCGTGTGGCTGGAAATGGGAAGAAAGAAAAGCAACCCAAAAAATATCAGAATGATAAAGAGAGAAAGTTGTTTATTTTTTCTTTCTTTTCTTCTTCTTCCTCTGCTTGAGAGATAAGAGAGAAAGTGTTGAAAGTGACAGGACCAACTACAAAACGTAAAGTCAATTGAGAAATGATGAGAACAAGTAAAAAGCAAAAGAGTAACAGTAACGGGATGTGACTCTACCAAACAGTAAAGTTGTAACTTGTTCTTTTAAAGAGATAATGTCAACTTCAACTGCAAGCCGTTAAGTTAGGTGATAGTACAATTCCTAAGTAACCTCAATATGAATACATGCATCAACCCATTTTAATCTTCCTTCACCTAAATGGAAACCAATCCTAGACCAAGGCGGCTCTACCCATTTTAATCTGGACATCCACCCATACTGGTAAAAGCTGACGCACAACCCAACTTGCCAGAAGAATTACAAAACTAGTTCATCCTCTCTTCCGCCTCAATCAAATTTCCTTCTTTGAGAAAGATGCAAGGCAACAACCGAGCAAGGAGTAAGAAATGTGAATACAGAAAGAGGATCCATTTGAAATCTCTTTTGACGAGGAGAGAGCTGAGCATCTTACCGCTCGTTTGGAGAATTAAAGTTTAAATCTATAGATTTTGAGTTATAAATATTCATTGTTTGGTAACTACAAGTGTTAACAATTGTCTTCTCTCTTCCACGTTAAGCACAATGGGATGGACGGGTCTCTTTCTTTATAGTTTTCAGTTTATTCAGAAAAATAATCTTCTCTCTTCCCCGCTTTGACTGGGTATGGGGCGGGTATGGGTAAAACCCGCGAAGAATCTGATGGGTATGGGGCGGGTTTGATTTTAGGTGCCCCGCCCCATACCCATACCCAACCCGTCAAACTTATTTGTTATATGCTAAAAATACAAGTACCTGTTTGTAAATTGTTAATGACATAAAGGGTAAATAAAATAAATATAGATGGCTAAAACATAATTTTACTTATCAAAACCCTAAATGAAACATCAGCCCTTCTCCATTCTAATTTTTTGACACAGCCGCCGCACAGCCCGCAGCCCCGCAGACGCTCATCCTCCCAAGTCCCAATCGATTCCTCCAACAGCCTCCGCCGCCGATTCTGAATCGGGACTCCGGCGAAGTTGTCGTCGTCGGTGGCGGAGAAGATCGCAAGGCTCGTCGTCCCGTTCCTCGACTCCCGCAGCCGGCCAGCAGTCCGTGGAAATCTTTCTTCTCCCGTCGACTCCCGCAGCCTCACCACTCAATCCCGTCGCCGGCGCGCCGCCCAGCTCCACGCCCAGCAGATCCCGTCGCCGGCTCGCCGCACAGCTCCACCGAGGTCTTCAGTCGTCGCTGCCCAGTTCGTCACCCGTCGCCGCGCGGTTCGTCAGTCGTCACCCAGATCCCGTCGCCGCCTTGCCGTCCAGCTCCACGGGGGTCTCCTTCCGCCCAATCCCGTCGCCGCAGTCATTCTCGTCCTCACCCAGCGACGGCAAAAAATCGGCGGCCACAAAATTCAACGAGGTAGATTTAAGAATTCAACTCTTTGTATTTTGTGTCTTTAGTGTATTTTGTGTGTTTATTGTATATGCAACGGCGACGGGATACCTTATACAACTTATTTGTGTGTTTATTGTATATACAACTGATTTGAATTTTAATTCTTTCAGAAAGTCGGCTGTTTATCTCTAGATGGCTAGCAACTCTTTTGGGAGAGGCAATGAGACTTTGTGTGTTTGAACTTTGAAGTAGTCTAGTAGACTTTGATCTTTTGGAGACAATTAAACAAAGGATTGGATGTTTTTTCGTATTAAGAATGATTGTACCTTGTTGATTTCATAATTTATGTGGTTGTTTTAGTGTTATAATTGAAGAATGCATGTTGTTTATTAGGTGTAGAAGTAATGCATACATGGGGATGGGTATTACCCATGGGTACCCGAAACCCGCGGGTATGGGGATGGGTATGCAAATCCTCCACCCGCATGGGTATGGGGCGGGGATGGGTATGGGTATATGGAAATGGGGATGAGGATGGTTTAGGCAAACCCGCCCCAAACCCGCCCCATTGCCATCCCTACTCGTGCACTCAATCCCAAACCACCACCTTCCTAACCTCCCACCTATTGCATTTATGATGAGGAAATGAGTTGGGATACATCTCTTCAATTGCCTATAAAAGGCAAGCAAAGAAGACAAATAGAGACACACAACTTCTCTTCTCCTTCTACTCTCTGTATATATATATGATCTCCTAATGTAATCACTCTATGAGAGTATGGAATAAAAGTAGTGTTACACTTGCTCTTCCACTTCCTCGGGTTATCTTCAATCAACTTAGACAACATACCCTTCACCACCTCGTTGGATGCTTCAGCTTAACCATTGGCTTGAGCATAGTAAGGAGTGGAGTGTATGATCTTGATGCCTTGTTCCTAGGCAAAAGCCATCACCTCCCCTCCCGTGAACACGATAACCTATGGTGGCTGGCAAGCCGAACCGGTTTATTATATTCTCTTTGATGAACTTGATGATTTCTACTTGATTAACCACTGTCATTGGATTAGCTTCCACCCACTTGGTGAATTAATCAGTTGCCAAGATGACAAATGTATGTCTATCAGAAGATGGTGGATAAATCTTCCCAATGAAGTTCATGTCCCATCCAAAGAAAGGTCAAGGCTTGATGATAGACTTCAAGCCGATGGTCAGGGCTCTCTACACCGGGCCATGTCATTGAGAAGCCTCACACCCTTTAGCAAAAGCGACACAATCTTCTTCGATGGATGGCCAGTATTAACCATGCCAATGCAGTACCCATCTCATAGAAGGGTCTGCTTGATGAGCACCACATATCCCTTCATGAACCTCACCCATGGCTTGTAGGGCCTTCTTGCCCCACAAGCACTTCAATAGCAAACTGTCTGGTCTCCTTTTGAACAAGACCTCAACCAACAATACATAGTTCCTTGCCTTGAATTTGATGGCCCTATCCACATCCCATGTTGGATTCTTCAAGTATGCTATCAAGGGGGTACGCCAGTCACTGACATCCTCTTCAACTGTAAACACATCTACCCTTTGCTTCAATCTCTCATGCAATAGGTTAAGTGTTCGAACAAAAATTTTCTCTCCCCCTTCATGAGCAAACTCTCTGAACCCCGAAGCTAGTTGTGCTAAGTAGTTGGCCTTGCCATTCTCCTGGCGAGGAACATATTTGATGGATACATTATCAAAGTGAGTGATTAGTATTTGGACATAATCAAGGTATGTCTCCAGTATGTAATTGACGCATCGAAATTCACCAAATACTTGGTAAACCACCAGTTGGGAATCCCTTTGATGTTAACACTTTTGACCTTCAAGTCAACAAACATCTCCAACCCCACCACTAAAGCCTCATACTCGGCTTGATTGTTGGTGCATGGGAGATCAAATGTAAAGGCAAAGTGCATGGTATGCCCTGATGGGGAAGTGAGGACACGCCAGCACCCGCTCCAGATCGTGTCTTTGATCCATCAGAGTACAAGGTCCAAGGGTCTCATCCACCATGTCTATTTCTACCAACTCAGGTGGCACACAACACATGGGTGGTCAGCTAAGAAGTCAGTCAATGCTTAGCCCTCTATGGCCTTTTGAGGCACATATTGCAAATTGAACTCAGAGAGGGAAAGTGTCCACTTACCAATCTTCCCATGGATGATTGGTCGGGACAACATGTACTTTGTTATATTGATCTTACATATGAGTTTCACTTGAACAGGCATCAAGTAGCACCTTAGCTTCATACAAGAAAAATATAAGGCTAAACAAAGCTTCTCTATAAGGGGTACTTTTGTTCTGCCTCGTTTAACAGTCTACTTAAGTAATACATGGCCTGTATATGGTACTTTTGAGCCAACAGACACACTACAGAGGTGTTAGTGGCTGAAAGGTACAACTTCAATGGCCGATGTTGGATTGAAGAATTGAGTACCGACAGACTTGCCAGGTACTTCTTGATGTCATCAAAGGCTTGTTGATGCTCTTGACTCCACACATACTCATCTTCTTGCTTCAGCTTCAACAAAGGAGAGAGAATTGGTTCGGCCAGCACAATTTGAGATGAAACGTCGAATGTAGTTGACTTGGCCGATGAACCTTTGAAGATCTTTCTTATTATTTGGTGGCATGGCCTCAATGATTGCCTTGGGTTTGCTCTTATCAACCTCAATGTCACGTTGGCTCACAAAGAACCCTAAGAAGTCACCTACAGACACACCAAATGCACACTTGAGTGGATTTAGCTTCAAGTTATGGCCTCTCATACATAAAAAGCCCATGCGAAGATGAAATACATGTTGACTTGTTACCTTAGACTTGACAACAATGTCATCCACATAAACCTCAACCAACTCATTAATCAAGTCATGAAAGATAGCATTCATGGCTCATTGATAAGTGGCACCTGCATTCTTCAACTCGAAGGCAATGACGAGGCACTCATAGCACCCTATGGCTCCTGGACACTTGAATGCGGTCTAGTGGATGTCTTCCTCGGCTAAGTGGATCTGATTATAGTCTGAGTAACAATCCATGAAAGAAAAGATATTATGCCTAGTCACTGCATCAAGCATCATGTCAGCTACTGGCATGGGGTATTCATCCTTAGTTGTGGCTAAGTTTAAATTTCTAAAATCAACACACACGTCGCTTGCCATTCTTCTTTCTAACTAGCACTACGTTGGATAACCACTCCACATACCTGGCTTGGATAATGAAGCCAACCTTCAACAATCTTTCAATTTCTTTTTTAATATCTGGCCAGACCTCATAAGCAAACCGTCTAGGCGATTGTTTAAAGGGTTTGAAGCTAGCACTAATTGGTAATCTATGCTCTACTAACTTTTTATCTAGACCAGGCATCTCATGATAATTCCATGCAAAACAATCTTTAAATTCTAGGGTTAATATTTTCGTATGGCCTAAACTTTGACCAAAATAAACATCCTGGCCAATCTTTTCGATCTATAACATTTTGGCCCGAACTATACACCAAAATAAACAATTTGGCCAAACCCGATGTTTGACCGTTAACTTGGATGGTCAAACGCGTTGACTAACGGTCAACGCGCCACGTCACTGCCAAGTGAGAAGATCTGATAAATATTTCATTTTTTCATTTTTTCATTTTTGGTTTAACTAAGATATTAGATGATTTTTTTAATTTATAATAATTTAAAATTAGGGAATGTGTTGAAATTGTGAATTATTTTAAATATTTTATGTTGACTTGGCAGTGACATGGCGCGTTGACTAACGGTCAACGTGTTTGACCATCCAAGTTAACGGTCAAAAGTCGGATCTGGCCAAATTGTTTATTTTGGTGTATAGTTCGGGCCAGGATGTTATAGATCGAAAAGATTGGCCAGGATGTTTATTTTGGTCAAAGTTCAGGCCATACGAAAATATTAACCCTAAATTCTTTTAACACATTAATTAACTCATACCTCTCAGCTACGGAGAGCATGGCAGTGATGAAAGTAGGATGCGGTCATCCTCGGTGCCAAGGTTGATCTCCTCTAATAGAGACATCATAGGCCTCTGGTCTTCTCCAGCTGTACCTGGTACCTCGCCTTCTTCAGGCAAGTCATCTTCAAGCACATAGTCAGCCATCAACATCGCTTCCTCACAAGCTAACCTCTATTCACATTGATAGATGGCCAATTTCTACAACAAGGCCGTCACTTCGACCTTGCCCACCACCTCATCTCGAAGTGGTCTACTCATCATTGATACTTGTTTCAACTTTAGGTGGACCATCAAAATCAATCATAGATGGTCTCACAATATCTAATAGTGGGTCGATGCATGCTTTACTCAATACCTTAGCACTTGACATCACCACTGTGCACGACCCTCCATCCATACTCCTCACCTGTAGTCTGTAGAGGCCCGAAGTCTCCATGATAGAGCGGAGCCTCGACCACATTCGCACCAACTGCAAAGGGCTTGGTGTCTGATTGTACTACCTCCATCATTCCTTCTTCATTCCAAAACATCAAATACTGATGGAGTGAGGATGTGACACACTTGTTGGCATGGATCCAATCCCTTCCCAACAAGTCATTGTAGCTTATTGCCCCATCCAACACAAAGAAGACTTACATTTTCTCATGAATACCAACTCCAACTAGGACGGCTAGTATCCCTCTTACTGATGTTAATCCCCCAGTGAAGCTAGTAACGAAGATCTCAGTGGGAATCAAATCACTTGTAGTCTTCCCCAATTTTCTTAACAGCCTAGTGGGCGTCACATTGACAGCAGATCCATTGTCCACAATGATTTTTGACATTGGCATACCATCCAACCTAGCCTTTTGGCCAATATGGTTGATAGGGTAGTTGACTATGGGGAAGTATTGTCCCCTTGATGCACTTCTCCTATTCTCCTCGTCATGGAGAAGGGACTCAAGCCTGCTTTGTCCACTTGGTATCTAGACTTAGTTCTTAGATGGCTTCCTATTTGGTACCTGGCTTGGCACCATGTTGCTTGCCAAGCCTATTTTTCCCTGCTTGGTACCCTCATCCTACCAAGCACTTCTGTCGGCTTGGTACCTTGTCGTTTGCCCCCCCCCTGTTGCTATGGCTGGTATGACACCCTATCGTATGGCCCCCTGTTGCCATGGAATTCCATACTCAACCAAATTTCATGCATTGGTACCAAGACTGTCTTGCCTGTCTGGCACCCACTTGGTGTCTTGGTATCCTATTTTGTGGCTACCAAACTTGTCTTGCCGGCTTGATACCCTGTTGGCTCCATACTTAGCAAATTTTCATGTCTTTTGGTATCAAACTTGTCTTGTCGGCTTGATACCTCTTTGGCTCTATACTTGGCCAAATTCCATGTCTTGATTGGTACCAGGCCTGCCTTGCCGCCTTGGTACCATGTTGCCTAGTACCAAGCCTGTCTTGCTGACTTGGTATCTTGCTGCTTCCATACTTAGCCAAATTCCATGTTTGAGTACCAGGCCTACCTTAGTTTTGGGAGCTATTTTACCCTCAGCCTACCAAGCCTCTTTCGTTGGCTTGGTACCCTCTCGTTTGGCACCCTGTTTTGATTTCTTGTTTCCAGACTTAGTTTTTGGAAGCCAAATTCCATACGAAGAAGGTGGAGGCATAGTCCAGTCTATCGATGCGGTCAACCACTAGGCCATGGATAGGGGCATGGCCACTTAGGCCAAAAAAACCTAATAAGGCTCAACTAGCTCATTTAATGATTAAAGTTGAGTTGGCCATATAAATTCATTAATTTTCTTGTAATTATATATATAGCCGTTAAATCTAAATATATATCTTGTCGTCAATCGGGTTGTGGGTCGAACGGGTTGAGGGTCTTTGACTTTTAGTCAAAGCTGGTTATAGATGGGTTGCGGATCAGATTGGTTGGGAGAGTTACTCGGGCCGGGTCATGTTTTGACACCTATAGTTACGAGAAGCACTCAAAGACCCACGTAAATCAATCCATACAACTCCTTCGAAACATGTCGCTTCCACACAGGATATCGTATCCTTGAAGACGAGGAGCCATCTCAATCCATTAGTTTTAATTGAAACGAAATCAAATTGATTATATTTCTCAAAACTTCACATATATGGACATCTTGTCTATTAGGGAAAATGCTGGGTTATTTTGAAACTCAAAGGAGTGAAAATTTCTCATAAAAATCAAAGGTCTTGTTATACAAGCATATTTTTTGTAGGAAAAAAAAAATTAATGAGCTTGAGCTCACGACTTGCGAATTAGCCAATTAGGTGAGCTTAGTAGATACATAATCAAACGGCATCGCTTCGATTATTGCTTCACCTTCAAGCCTCTGGAACGTCGACCCCTACCAAAATCGAAGGCGCTCCCTCATTACTCATTAGTCACTCCATTCCAGTTGAGTTCACGATCACGACCGCCCTGCTCTCTCTCACTCCGATCACCTCCAACTCTCACCAGTCACCCCGAATATCCCTTCTCCAAATCGACTGCCGCCGTCGTTAACTTCTTATCGGCATCGTTGGTGACGCTCGCGATGGGTTGAGAGTGCGACTGCCGCCGTTTCTTCGTCACAAATCGACTACGACCGCCGTCCCGCAAATCCTCCGTCGTCCCGCAACTCATCTTCCGGATCTCTCCTCCGTGTCCAGCCGAATTCTACCTGAGGCTTCTTGGATTATCGCAAAGAAGATTGGAGTGGTACATTCTCCCTTCTTTTTTTTTTTTTTTTTTTTTTATGTTTCTTGCATTGCTTCACTCGATGATTAAGCTAATTGCAAGAATCTACTGTAAATGCAGAGGGAGATTGAAAGGGTCCAAGCCTTCAAGGTCTACCGGAATATTCTTGGATTATTGCAAAGAAGCTAGGACTGGTACGTTCTCCCTTCTTTTACGTTTTACGTTTCTTGCTTTGCCTCACTCGATGAAGAATCTACTGTAAATGCTAGGGGGGAATTGAAAGGGTTGGTTATCCCTTTCTCTTTCATGTCCTAGGGTTTTGTTTCCCTCAGGTAGGGTTTATCAATTCATCATAAAAAACGAAGAAGAAAGATAACTCTCTTAGCGTTCTTGCATTGCTCTGTGGTTAGGAAGTCATTCTGTGTAAATTGTTTCGTTGGATGTGATAGGAAGTTGCTGTAACTGACTGATATTGTTCTTCGGTTGCAATTAACACCAAGCATGAGCTAAATTGACAACAATTTGCATCATCAGAAGTGTTGGACAATAGGGTTGTTGCTCTGTTTATGCTTTACAATGAGAATTGGTGTTGGTAATTGTGTATTGATGGTCTGATTCCGTGTTCTGCTTGCTCACTTGTTATTATGAATCTTCTTCTTGTCTGCTGTGGTAAGCTTTTTAACTAGCTGCATAAAATCCTTCATTTTCAGGTTCAATATGTCGAAGTCTAATTTCGCCCTGAAGCAATTTATCTCAGCAACTCAGCAACTTGACAAAGCTGTGGCGACTGGGGCTCTTCCAGAGGAGCTTCAAATTTTGCGCGAGAATGAAGCAATTGCAGCAAGCAAGTGTGTCTCTAGATATCATAACATATGGTTGGAGAACGAACAAGATGTTTTGGCAGTCCAAAGGATTATGAACATCTTCGAGGGGCAGATCAACAACCAGTTTTGGATTGTCAATGGGACTAATAACCCACACCACCAACTGATGGCAGACCGGGCAGCTGCATTTGGGTTGGACTTGCGCTTTCACGGAGATGGAGGGAAGTGAAGAAAGCAATACTAGGCGGTATAGTAGGTATATGAAGTGTAAGGAGATGAGGTTTGTAGTTGTTTTTTGGATGTAAACAGTGTCAGCCTCACAAGGAACCAAACTTAGTGGTGTGCCTTGCTTATGATAGATAGATATCTACACTTTATTAGTGAACTCGCTCAGCTTATGATTTTACACATGTACTCACAGCAAGCTTAAGGTTTTGAGGTCAGAGTGCTGGCTTGCTCCAGCATCATTGCCATTCAAGTGCTTCAATATCATACTCTTTCATACCAGAAAGTTTTACAATACACAGACTTGCAATGTGGTCATGCGTGGCCTAGCTTGTGATGCATGTCTTATGCAAAGATAGTGGCAGGCAAGACCGTCCTCTAAAACTCCTACCCATGATCACAGTTACTACTCAATCAAGCTTGGGTACAGTAATTGGGAAATAAAATTAAAAAAGCTAGACAAGCGAAAAATATGCAAACAGGTCGACAGCAGATAGCTTCTACACCAAGGACGAGGCCCGTGACACAAAACTCTCCGTGTGTAAATGCATACCCAGAGAACCAGTTTTGCTTGACCTTTTGAGTTATCATTGCTGATAGGCTTCCTTTCATAGAACGAAGCTCAAGGAGCACAACCATAGAAGTTGATCTTGTCATTCTCCTAGCCGTACATGAAGTACCCACGTCCATCTTGTCAAATCAATCTGTTGTAGTTTGTCCAATTCAGTACATCACATCACATACAAAGGATGTGAGATGAGGAGGTTTATGCCAAGAATTAGACAGCAGGACGACTTGTATTTTGAGGAAAATAACTTTTCTGTTTGTCTTCCGAAGGAGTTTGGTCAGTTGTCAAAATAATCACCAGAGGCACAAATTCTTCAGACAAGGATATGCAGGATTTCCCTTTCCTGGATGACAGGCTGAGCACTTGTATACTGCAGATAATTGGATTCAATGCTTCAGTAACTCCTATACTTCTTGCCCCAACCACATTTTTTGTATTACCTGCAGAAGCAAGCACAGTGCAGCAGGCAGAAAAAGATCAAAACCTATTTCAAGGATTCTCACATTTCAAACAGAAATGTTAAAATGGAGATAAAAACTAATTAAAGTAACCATGAAAACTCATGCTTTTCAATTCATGGCTTTCACCGCACAGCAAGTCACAGTCCAAAAGTAGTAATGATACTTGTCTCCAGAACAAATCTTTTGAGCACGTCTTCAAGAGTTTCAACAAGTGTTCATGGCCACCAGGAAGGCAGCCTTCGTGAACATTAGTGCTTTCTATTCTCTCACTCACGTTCTCTGATCACACCAAGGAAACAGAAAGCAAGGTTTGATGATATATATTCAGTCAAAAGACAAATTAGGAATGTATAAAGTTTATCCTTCCACCCAAGAAGCCAGCACAAGGACTCTGTCCCATTTTTATATGGTTGCAAACTTCAGCCATTATCGAGCTCCCCATCTGAATTGCATTGATTACATAGGGAACAAGTTACAAGCAAAGGGACAGACATACACTGATACACAAGGGCATGAACAAAACAAGAAGAAAATGATAACTTAGCATACTAGTCCAAGCAGTATCCTCGGGCCAGAAGATAATAGAAGAACAAAATTACAACAAAGCCAAAAATTTCTCATACTACTCCAAGCAGCAATGCAAGGCCAGAAGCGAAAAACTATTTTACAACAAAGTCAATTGCAGGGGATGCTCTTGATTTGAACTTCAGTGCACATTGTCTGGCTTCCTCAAGTTGTTTCTCGCTGCAAGGAATATTTGGCATGCCACCAGTCGGATTGCTACGATCAACAACTATTCTCTCCATCCCCACGAAACACTCCAACACATACTCCATAAACTCGCAGTCAACTGGATAGCCCTTAAACCCAATAATCTCCACCGCTTTAATGCTTTCATGACCTACTCTAACAACACTTGGTTTCAACACTCTTGCACTTGAATCCTTGATGGCGGAGTATGTACTCGTCTGCACCCGAAAAACAATCGTAATGAATTAGAGAGAAGGTAGTTGGGAATGAGAGCAAGCAAGAAGCCAACCAAAAAAAAAGCTGTGTTGACCAACAAGTAAATGAACAAGCGAATTACCAACACTCGCAATGTTTGTAACCGAGGACAAGCGTGTATCAAAGTAGCCAAGCCAATGATAGTTTCGTCAATACTTCCATTCACTATTTCGACCGTCAGCAGCTCAAGGTGGGTGAATTCAGCCACATTCAGAAACCAAAGGCAGTCCTGCACAACAAGAAACATGTATCCTCAGACAGGAAGAACAGAAAAATAATGCAACACAGTCCATCAAACCATTAAATCACTCAAGTCATGCATAGCAAGAGTCTTTCTTTGTTGTTTTTTTTATATACTCACCCCCTCCATTCTCAAAGTAAGAGTCGCCAACTGAGCTGCTTTGTGGGAGATGGAGTGAAACACTAAACCAGGTCTACAACAATCGAAGTCTATGTTCACATCTACAAGACTAATACATTTCTCGAGATGCAATTCCACCGACTCCTGACGACCCTGATACGCAAAGTGGGTGAGGCATGGGACATTATCAATCTCCAGAGATTTCAGATGTCTGCATCTCCTCACTTCCAAGCGCTTCAATTTAAGCGATGAACCAGTAGCAGCAGCAACCCTGAGCTTCACTAGTAACCATGACATTTTCACCGCTAATTCTTCAAGATAGGGGCAATTAGCGATGAAGTGCTCAAGAGTCTCACTCTTGATGTCCACAAAACTCAAGCAAAGGGATCTGAGGGACTTGATGTCGGACAACCCAGCCGGAGTTTTGATGTGATTGAAACAATCCTCTGGGAAAAGATAATTCTTGTTATCACTTTTCCGGATCTGGACATAATTGACTAAGGACAGGTCAAGAGACTCAACCCTTTTGGATATTGCGAATTTCAACCATCCATCGATATCCCCATCGGAATTGCATTGATTGCTCAAGGTGAATGAAACTCTAAACTGGGTGAGCTGCTGCTTTGAGCCTGGGGACAGATCATTGAGCTGCTGCACGACCCGGCTCACCCATTTTTTGAACTCAATTCTTTTCTCTGGTATCAGACAGCGTTTGAACTTGAGAAGTTCCATCACTTTCGGGGCATCAAAGTCCAGCTCGGTTACAGCCAATTTCCACAAATTTACCCATCTACTTGAGAGTAGTGAAGTCTGAGCCGCTTCCTTGAATGTTAAGAGGGACAGAATGCTCACAAGGATTCCCTCTGGTAGTTCACTAATCCGATCCACACCACCGTTATCTTCTTTATTCTAGCAAAATGAAAGACAACCAATCAATCAAAGTTTGCAACTTTATACTCTTTCCCTTAAACTAAACCGGTGTGTGTTTACAAGAAACAAAACAAACTCACCTCATGTGCCGTAGAACTAGAAACGGAGCCGGAGGCGGCAATCTTCACAGGGCCGGCCTCCTGAAGAGAGGAGGATTAGCATATAGATATATGAAATAAACACTACGGGCAAAGTATGAAACGTTCTAAAACCAATTCCTACAAAAACCGATTCATTAACAAGATGAGGAAAATGCATGGCATGCTTACTCTGTGTTCTGTGAAGCCAGAGTCGGAGGAGGCCATGGCTCTGCTTTTCTTCCTTTTATTCCAAACAAATATTGGCGAGCTGCAAAACCCCCTTCCCTGGAAGGCGATGAATGAAATGCTCTCGCTTTATTCAACTTGCCCTGCCCGGAGAGAGGCGGCCAAAAATAAATTATAAAGCATATACAAATCTGCTGCAAGGCCTTCAAACTGGAAGCAGTTCAGAATCAGATCTGCACAGGGAGAGAGGGATGGGGGCGATGCTTGGCCTTTTCGTTTTATAAGGCCACACGCCCATTGCCTAGTTTGCTTCGGAAACGGAACATAAGTACATAACACAAGTTCACAAGTTACCAACTAACCGTGCGGAACAGCGGAAGCGGTTATGGACTTATGGTGCCGACCTAGGCACTCTACAGGTAGGGACAAGATGGTATTTTAGTGCATATTGTTTCGGTATGAATATTGATGTATCTACAAATATATTATAGCTCGGGTTGTCAAAATCGGATCGGATTGGCGAGAGATATAAGGTTTATCGAATAATCGAATCGTTGATAATATAAAATCAGTGATAGAACCGATAATATAAAAAAAATTCAATTACAAGATTTATTGGGCTATTTTAAGTTAGAATTGGTCTTTTTTCACCACAAAATATTCTTATCAATTAATTTAATTGGGCCTTTTTATCCTTGAGCCCACTTTTTCAATAATAAGAAAGAGGACTTCTAGTCCAAAGGGTTAATTCCCTAAATATTATTTTTTTATTTACCACGAATATAGTGGTTTAAAAACTATTTACAAGAATATTGTGTTTTTTTTGTATGTTTAAAGCGCTAAAGCCTTAGACTCAGGCGCGGCCGCCAGGTGCTGTTTTTTCAATAAAATCCAGCGTCGCACCCGAGACTGGGGCTTTTGGCCTTTAAAAAAAGTGAAAGCGGCGACGCCCCAGACTGGGGCTTTGTCGCTTAAAAAAAAGTAAAAGCGGCGGCGCCCCAAACTGGGGCTTTGTCGCTGCCTTTTTCTTCCACTCCAGCACCACCCATCACCATATATACTGCACCTTTCTTTCTGTTCTTCACCACCAAAAAACTGAAAGAAGTTCTGAAAGAAGCTCTGGTGTTGTTGTCTGGTTGCTGGGAAGATGACTAATAATAGGTAAGAGACGTATTTATTTTTTTAATGTATTCATCATAATGATTTTGTCCAGTTAGTAATTAGTGAGTTTGTTTTTTATGTAGTGGTTTTAGAAGATTTGAACTAGCTGTTCGGTGGAAATCAGAGAAAGTAGAGGACAATTTGGGTGTCCATTTTGTTGGTGGTGTAAGTTTTCAGATGACTATTCCATCCAGGGTGAACTATCAGAAACTTTGTGATAATCTAATTCGGAGAATACGACGTAGAGACGAAACAGTACAAGATAGTATTGTGATTACAGGTTTCACTTACTGTCTTCCGAAATGGCAAAATGTTGTTTTATTTCATTATGCAATGCCTATTGTCGATGATGATAGCTTAAATGTGCTTTGGAATTTTATGGCACAAAATCCTTATTTTGCGGTTTGGATGTCGAGATGTGGGAGGCGATTGGAGCGTGAGAAAGGCCAAGTTGGTGCATACTTGTAGCAGTACGACTCAACCAACGGATCATCGCCATCTTGATGTCGACGTTATATCTGAGTCCGTGAAACACTTGGTACGTGCTCAACCAAATTTGAGTGTTCTAACTATGCAGGCCGAGTTGAAAGATAAGTTTAATATGCAAGTTACTTACAAGAAGGCTTGGTATGGGAAACAAAGAGCATTGGAGAAGTTGCATGGAAATTGGGAAGAATCCTACGTCGGGGAATGAGCGCGGCCGCCTGAGACTGAGGCGGCGCCTTCTTCTTCTCGGCGTCGTCGCTCTCTCCTTTAGCGTCGTCGCTGTCGGGGAGGTGAGGGAGGAGGGGAGAGGGCCAGTGTGTGGTGTGTGGTTCTGGCGAGAGGGAGCGAGGAAGGGGATAAGAAAGAAAAGCTTTCTAGCGACGACGCTGAGTCTCAGGCGTTGGCGCTATATGAAATTTTTGAAAATTTCAAATACCGCCAACGCCTGAAACTCGAGCGCCGTCGCTGTCTTCCCCTATTCAAAACACAATATTCCTGTAAATAGTTTTTAAAACACTATATTCGTGGTAAATAAAAAAAAGACTATATTTAGGGAATTTACCCAAGTCCAAAAGTCTTCCACACATCTCACTTTCTCTTCTCTGTTCCGCCTCCATACCTTCTGTCTCTAGGTAAAAACCCCTAAGAATCGATTCCAGTCCCTATCTCATTGCAATTACATGTAACTCTTCTTAGCCTGACCTACTTTACGCCACACCTCTGCTTTTCATTCCTCATATAACCAACCCAGTCTCTGCCGCTTCTCTTATTTCCTAGGTTTGAAATCTCCTCTTCTTCCCTCGCTCGAATCCCCTCTGTCGTCTCTTCTTGCCTCCGTCGCCGCCTCCTCCATCTCCCAATCAGCGCTGATGACGCTCGCTCCGGCAGAAGCTTCTTTGCTCTATATTATTTTTTCCCCCCGTTGAATCAGTGTTTGCTCTATATTAACTCAGTCAACTTCCTTAATCTTTCTGATTTTTTTTCAATGGTACCAAAACCGCCGGTATGGGTTAGGCGGGTCTCCCAATTGACCGGTCGAATCGGCCAGAACTCGGTCAAGCTATGCACGTCTCAGGAAAATGACATGTTTCCCCAAGGACTCTCTCAATTCCACCATCAGCAACAGACTTTGATGTATCAGACCCCGCAACAACAATCTACAACATCGACCTTCTACCACGCTTCTGGTTCATCTCAGACACCTCCACCTCCACCACCTATGCACACTCCGGTGGGGGTCGGGTTAAGACAAATCCGCGAGCAGTTGTCCAGCGGGCTCGCCAAGAGGGAGGAGGCAGAAAAGGCGAAAGAAGGGGTCGAGGACGTCGTGGAGGAAGAGGAAGAGGTGGAGAAGGGGAAGAAAATGAAGGCAACCAGTGAACTATCCATGTTTAGTTATGTCTTGTGTCTTTTCAGTGAACTATGAATGTCGTGTAGTTTGGTCTTTTTTCAATTAACTATCTATGTCGTCTTCATTTAGTTTGGTCTTGCGTTTTCCATGAACTATCTATGTCGTCTTAATTTAGTTTGGTCTTGCATTTTTCATGAACTATCTATGTCGTCTTAATTTAGTTTGGTCTTGCATTTTTCATGAACTATCTATGTCGTCTTAATTTAGTTTGGTCTTGTGTTTTATTTTACCATCCATGTTGTACCAAGATAAACCACAAATCAATCATCATTACAATCACTCAGCAAGATTAAAACAAGAAGTCCAAATTAAACATCATTACAACTAAATGACAATTAAATACAACAGCCTCAAGGTTGCTTCGGATTTGCCCCCGAATCTTGCTCGAGAGGTGGACCTGGGCAACGCCTCTTGTCATGACCCGGTTGTCTGCACTTTGAGCAACACTTTGGACCTTGTCGGGCACGTTGTGATTGATACATTTCATTGTGAATCCTTTCAGTCCTAGGACAACCCTTGGTGCTCTTTAAGTGCAACGGTGGGATAATCAACTTCCCATTGTCTACAGGCCAATAAGCTTCATCCGACATGGGGTTGAAACTTGACGAGTAGGAGTTCCTGATCGCTTGTTCCGTGAAGTAAGGACTAATCAGACTGTAAGCGATGAGGGTTATCGACTTAGCTACTGCCATTGCATGTGAACATGGTACTCTTGTGTTTTGATACTTTTGGCATGTACACTCCCGGTGTGAGTTTCTATGTGTAGAGTAACGGATTGACGATTTTGCCCACGTCTTCCTCCACCCCAAATACCTGTTTGCATAGAAAAAATACCTTCATTGCGGTTGAAAAGAACAACTTTGTGCTTACTTGATTTCTCTTCGTTCTTCTGCATGCCCTGAAAGACATGATGTGTTATTGCATGACCAGCACGCTCCCTCCCTATATCTTGCTGAAGTCTCTTCACAAACAACTCGTTTACCTTCCAGTATGTCATCTCCACTAGGACAGATACATGCATTGCCCTAACGGCCTTGTATACTCCATTTATGCTCTCGCCATGGTTGGTAGTTGCAATGCCGAATCTAGCCCCGTTGTCCCTGTGGAATGTCCACATGTGCAGATCTTGACCTTCTGCCCATATTGCCCCCGCCCGGTGTATATGAAGGGGATCATCTTCATCTTCCGGTAGTATTTTTTTGGTTGATGTGCAACCGCTTCAATACCGAAGAATAAATAATTAAGACAAGAGAAATGTCATATGAACAATAAACCATGAACAAGCACTGAATTACATTAGTACCTGCACTACATAATTGATCTCTTATGTCTTTTTTCTTCCCAAATATGTGCTAGAAATTGGAAAGAAAGTGTCGAATACACCAGCGCCATGTCCATCCCCATTCGTCGGGAAAACCACCGACGGCGTGCTTAATCTCGGCATGTCGATAGGATATAATTGTAATACTCACTCTTTGTGTGACGTGATCGTGTAGCTGGTCAAAGAACCATGCCCAACTTAAGTTGTTCTCCCCTTCAACTAATGCAAATGCCAGGGGGAAAATACTTAAATTTTTCATCAACCCCAGTGGCAATGAGAAGAGTTCCTTTGTACTTCCGAGTAAGGAAAGTTCCATGAACATGTTAAAAAGAATTTTAGTTAGTATAAATATTACTTAGTAAAAAAACGAATGAGTACAACAATGTTTAGTCCGTAATATACTTGGATCACTGGCATGCAGAAGGAAAATCCGTCAATGCATGGCTTGAATGTCCAGAACAGACGATGAAACATCAACTCGTTCTGTACTTGATCTTGATCTCCAGTCTGTACATTGTTGTACCACAACACGAAAACCATCCCAGGGTTGGACTCCATTGCGACCATTAGTCTAGTGAGTAAAACATATAAATCGTCCCAATCACCATAGACCTCAGCCATGACCTTCTGCTTCTCATGCCACGCCTTCTTATACCTGATCGTGTAGGAATGTTGATCCTTCACCTCGGCCATGATAGCTTTGATCTTGATATCTGGTTGTGCCTCTATCAAGTGCTTAATGGTTCTTGCACTCTCTTTGCTTTAAGTTGACGGTGATCCTGGGAAAGTATGGTTGAGGAGCAACTATAGTTTTTCTCTACTGTCTGAATGACCCAGACACCCTTTCTCTTTATATATGCAGCCCACAGTTGCCACATACAACCCTCTCCAGCATTCTTACAAATGACATGTAGTTTTTTGGTGTCATAATATTTTACCTTCCATTCGAAATTGCGCCGCATGGATTC